TACTTCAGAACATGTTTGAAAGACAAATAAACACAACTCATGCCCTCAACCTGTACTTGGGTGGACAGAGAACGAAACAAGCCTCCAGACACAAAGGTAAGTTCACCAATTCTATGAAAAAAGGAAAATGAACAATCGTACTCTTAAGAAAAATGATTAGTAGGGAAAGTTCTCCTATTTTTTGGTTTAACTTTTTCCCCCCTTCTCACATGCCTTATTCTTCATCCCACCCCCACCCCCACCCCCTGCTTCTTATTACTGTGTGGTTTCAAAGCTCGAATGTGCTTCAGTAAACATTCAAATACCTGAATACCCTGGACAGTCCCATGCTCAACAGTGAGGCCACACTACTTCCCTTCTCTAGTTCCACTATTTTTAGGGGTGATGAGTCAAATGCAAAGAAAGGAAACTGATGTAACAAATCCATACAAAGATGTCCCTTGCTAAACCCTCAAAAAGCTAAAAGTTTTTTACTCAAATGTGTATGCAATTAACTGAAACTCAAGGGTTAGGGATTAAAGAAGAACATGAAGAATGCTTCCGTTCAATCGCGTGTTACATAAAAGACTGGTTCTGGGAGAAAATAAGGGTTAAAGAACTAATTTGAGTTCTCATGAGTCTCTACCCAACTGGAGAAAAAGAAGAAATAGATTAAGTAATGAGGCACTAGAACACCTTGTGAAGACCCTTGACTTTTAAAAAGAGAAGGTACCTTCCATGACTGACACTGGAAGATCCAAACCAGCAGCCAAGACAGGATGTGCAATGCTGTCCTAGGGCTAACTCAGCTTAAAGTTAGGACGGCACCCCTTTCCCTGCAGTTTAAATTACCCAAGCCAGAGAAAGCTGGAGACTGGAGTATAGCAGGAAAGAAAAAAAGTCCAGCTCTAACCAATTTCTCCTAAATCTCCCTTAAGTAGATTACTTAAACCCTGCATGCTTCCCCCATATCCCTGCCCCAAGGTTTTTCCTTCCCCCATCTTCACTCCTCTCTGAGAGAGGCTGGAACCAACAACAGTTTCCTGCCCCTTCCATGCCACCCTCTCCAATTACTATCCTATCCGATGGACAAATGTATGTTTGGTGCAGCTAAGAGCTGCAGCACTGAATTTGCTAGCCATGTAAGCCTAGTGGCATGTACGTAAGGGGAACATGAATTATCAGTCATCACTTTCTCAGGCCTTTGAGGAGAGAGACCAGGCTCCCTTGTTGTCCTCTTCTAATTTAATTCTTCGAATCAACCGTGTGCAAGCAATTAGAAACCATGTCTTACAGATTTATAAAATGAAATAAAGTAAATAAGCTTTGCGTGAGAAATTTTTAAAACCAGTTAAACACGCAGGGTTTTAACAGAAGCATAACATTTTGACAAGTTGGACACTGCTACTCATTTTTAATCAACTACATAAAGCACTTAAACGCTACTCCGTTTTTTAAAATAAGAATTCTATGCAATTAATGAGGTAAACATCTTCTCAAATTTTATTATAGGTCTGAGTCTGTCTAATAAAGGTCAGAGATAATAAAAACCTGGAATGAAAGGCATTTTTATATATTTTACCTTAATTTATGTTTACAATAACTTTTGAATGCACTAATTATGTATTATATGATCATTTAACAGATAGAAGAAATGGGTTTACCCAGAGCCACATAGCTAGGAAGTAGCTGGAGTTTCAAACCAGACTTACCTGGCTTGTCCAACTTTGTAGCACGCCAAACCACTTCTCAACTTGAAAAGGCCCTGGCCTCATTCCTTCTCACAGGCTCCCGGGCCACAGTCCTATCATCAGGGCTCGGTAAAGCACACAAACCGTACTTGGTTACAGAACCTAATGGCTACCAAGGGAGAACTTCCTGACGCTGACTCCCTTTTATCCTGTAGGAAGAGTGGACACTTGCTACAACCTCTACTTGCTGACAACTATTTATTCACAGCTCAGTCATTCTTTGGATTCACAGGTTTACAAATGCTCACTTAAACAAGCCCCATTCCTCCATTCTTTCTTCAAGCCCTCCCTTACTCATTACATCAGGGAAATCTTTTCTCTCTTTCATTTACTTTCTCATTCACAGTTGGAAATTATAATATTCTTAAATATGGATGATACATGTAAAAGCAATGCTAAAGGTGCACTGATATCAAAGAAAGGGCTTCAAATTTTAAAGTAAAAACAGATTTGAAGATCTGTGATATAATGCTGAAAAAAACTTGAAAAGGCACCTTGTTTCCCCAAACCACTGGCACTGACTGGATGCCAGCTCTGACTCATAGCTAAGCTATCCTATCCTATAAGACAGAGCAGAACTGCCCCCGTCGGTTTCCGACACTCACTCTTCGTGGGAATAAAACGTCTCATCTTCCCCCTGCGGACTGGCTAGTGATTTCAAACTGCTGAACTGGTATAAGCAGCCAAACATGTAACTACTATGCCACCAGGCCTCTTAGCCATTCTCCCACAGAACACCATAAACAGCCGTCTGCCGATTTACGTTTGCTTAGTCAAACCTGCACTCAAGCATCTACAAACATCAAACAAATATTTCTCACATTTAAAGTACCACATTTTAATTTTCCATTAAGTTTTATTTATTTAGTTTGGCAATAATATAATTTCCCATCAAATTTTACAAACAGTGCAGAACTTGAACCATCTGTTATGATTGAAAACGGACTGTGGTAAATAAGCTTAAGGACCCACACACTATTGTCTTTTGTATAAAAAGAATAATTTCCCACTTATAATGCTAACCTAACTCAACAATCTCCTCCTTCTATTCAGGAGCTTCAGTTACAGGCAGAGGACAAACACTCGAAGGAACCTGTTCTAAACACAGGTAGAGAAAGGGGAGAAAAGAGAAGGGAAGTGGATTTCACACGTTACTTCTGATCCAAAGCATATTTGAGAAATTCCTTGTTTGAAGAGGCCAAGTTAGATTAATTTATGTATTAACATTTCTAACCTATGTAAGTCAGTGAAAAATGAAACTTGATAAAAATCAACATTAGAAGTATGAATGCCTGCCTTAGGATAATTTGTTTAGAGGAAACATGAAGAAATCCATGATCAAGACTAAAACCTTTAATATATTTATCATTTCTAAACAGTTTCCTAACTTGTATTCTCTCCCAACCTTCAAAAGTATAATTTTGACCTGAGCAAGAACTGCCTCACCTCTAATTTAAAACAAAACCTACTTCTTGTCTAGGCACAGTCCCGTTCAGAATCTCCTTCAAATACATCTGCATAACAATCCTTTTGCATAGATCAAGCATAATTTGTCAACTGTGTCCCTTGTTGTTTTAAGTGTTGTTGTTACAGGTAATTGGATAAAAGAGGCTCCCGTAATAAACAAATACCTAATTTTAATAAAAAAAACATTTATTAAGAGAATTTACAGGCTAAGATCAGTTACTTCATACTGTTTAACAATAAAAGAGAAGTTATCAATCATTTAGCTAGTATGGCAATAAAAAATAAACTGTGATGAGTTTTTAACCACAGAAAAATAACCTAAAAATTTTAAGTCAGCGTTAACAGGCATTTCTACATCCACGCTGAGGTCTCCTGCAAATAAAACACAATCTAAATATATTCAAATTTTAAAGTAAAAACAGATTTGAAGATCTGTGATATAATCCTAAAAAAAAACTTGAAAAGACACCTTGTTTCCCAAGTAACCAACACTAGTATCTTCTAAAACAATGTCAGCTATTTAGAATTATTAAACCGTAGCTATTTAGAATTATTAAAACACCAAACTTATAGCAACTCACTGTCAGGAAACAACTATATTTTTAACAAGGGAAGGTCAAAAATACGAAGCACAACAGAATCCTCTATGCTGCTAAACTAATTTGTTGCATCTATTCCATGTTATGTCACTACTAACATTCAAAAATAAAGACTACTATAAAATGGAAGTTTCTATAGTCTTGCATAATTAAAGAAAGATTAAAAATCCTATCATCGTGAATGAGGGCAGCGTGTGATGGGGACCCAATGCCCATCTGCAGACAACTAGACATCCCTTGTAGGGGGGTAGTGGGGAGGAGATGAGTCACTCAGGATGCAGTGTAGCATTAATGAAACTCACAACCTTCCTCTAGTTCTTAAACGCTTCCTCACCCCCACTATCATGATCCCAACTCAACCTTGCAAACCTAGTTAGACCAGAGGATGCACAGCAGTGCTGATGGGAACTGGAAACACAGGGAATCCAGGACAGATGAAACCCTCAGGACCAGTGGTGAGAATAGTGATACCGGGAGGGAATGGGAGTTAGGAAGGGGGAACCGATTACAAGGATCTACATATAATCCCCTCCCTGGGGGATGGGCAACAGAAAAGTGGGTGAAGGGAGACGCCGGGCAGTGTGAGATATGATAAAATAATAATTTATAAATTATCAAGGGTTCATGGGGGAGGGAGGAGCGGAGAGGGAGGGGGAAGGAAGGAAGGAAAATGAGCTGATTCCAGGAGCCCAAGCAGAAAGCAAGAGTTTTGAGAATGATGGGGCAACAAATGTGTAAGTGTGCTATGCACAATTGATGTTGTGTGGCTTGTGATGAGAGTTGTATGAGTCCCATAAAATGATTTTTTTAAATGTAATCTTATGAAATGTAAAAAAAAAGTAAATGTTTAAAAAATGATGATTGCAACATATGTAAATATGCTTGAAACAATTGATGTATGGAATGTTATAAGAGCTGTAAGATCCCCCAATAAAGTGATTTAAAAAAATTTCTTAAGACAAGACTCCCTGTACACTATCAGGGAATGCTAAAAACCTAGTGGACATTTTTAACAGGTAGTACCAAAATTTATTCAGAAGTGCTAACTATATAAATCATTATTGTTTTTTCTTTTTAACAAATCAAAAAATATCTCACTTTAATAGTGCAAACCCTATTTGTAAAGTGCAACAAAATTAAAGATGTCTTCATTACTACCAAAGGAGCCCTGCTGGTGTTGACCCGTAAGCATCAGACAGACTCTGGTGCACCAGTTGCTCTGTGGGAGAAAGAGGCTATCTGCTCAGGTACAGATTTACATTCTCATTCTCGAGGGAAGGGCACTGGAACTGACTGCGAGTCTACAACTCTTTTTTTTTAATCATTTTATTGGCGGCTCGTACAATTCTTATCACAATCCACACATACATATACATTGTGTCAAGCACATTTGTACATTTGCACAACTCATTTTAAAGGTGATTTAACTGTGGGGGGGGAATGTTCTACAATTGATCAATTGTGGTATTGATTGTACAATTCTCAATATGAATGATTGAACTATTGAATTGTATGATATGTGGATTATATGCCAATAAAACTGTAAAAAAAGAATTAATGTGGAAAATAATAGATATTTACTTATCCACAAAAAATGTTAATATTTTGGATATAGTAACTTAAAGTGTTAAATAAATTTAATCTGCTTTTTATTTTTTTTTAAGAAAAAAATAAAGGTACTACCAAAAATGCAACAACAACAACAAATGTACAGTCTCAGGAACCCTTTATAGCAAGGTTGAGGAACTTCTTGCCCCTGGTCCATCTAAGGACCGAGAAATCATCAGTACCAACCAACATCACATGCCTCACCTAAGAAATGCAGGTGCAGCCAACACATTAGGGGTCAACTGATTAAATATCTGACCAGTATGGCCAGATAATGATGTTATAAATTTCCAAAGGGCCTTTGAGAGAAAAAAGGTTCCCCACCTCTGCTATAAGGCAGAGACAAGTCCATGTCAAGAGATTTATGTGTTTTTCATTGACAAAGATAAAAACACCTACAGGG